GTTTCATCTTTGGAGCGGGTTCTGCGCAGGATTTGGGCACTGGGATGCTTTCTGAGGCGGCCGAAGGTGAATCCTTTGAGTACACTACCGCCTGACTCGTCTGACCGACTCTTGCACAGTGGCACCCCGCGGTGGGAGTCTCCCAGATCACCGCAATCGATTGGAAGACTGTTTGTCGGGGTTAGTCGATGTGAGTGCTTGGCAAGTGGCTTTTTCATGGCCTCAATGAATTTCCTGGTTAGGGAGGATGTTGAGCCGGCTTTGTAGTTCGACGCAGTGGAATGGTTCGAATAAGTTGACTCGCGGGAGGTTGTTCGAGTTAGGGTCAGAGGAATGGTTGGACCACCTGATCCGGCAGGTGTCGGACATGTGACTGGAGTGGTGCTTGTTGGATTTGAAGACTGGGTGACGAGTGGAGGAAGGAGTTTTCCAAATCGACTGTCGGTTTGAGATGTAGTCTGATCTGACAGCTTCAAGGGTTCTGCTGTTAGTGATCGATCGGGAAGCTGATGATTTGATGAATCGCGATGATCTGAGGGACTAGAATTGTTCAAGGTAGGTACGGTGTGATGGTTTGTTGAGATTTTGGTCTGTTGCTGTCGATAGGTTGCAAGTGCTTGGGTGCGTTCAGGGGAGTCGAGGGCGAGGTCATCGATAGCGATGATTTCTCCATTTGGCCTGCGAACGACTAGTCGATAATCGCCCCAGGTTCCATCCGGTTTCTCCTCTCTCGACCACCAAACGTCCGAGCCGCCACAGCCCCCAGGAACGTTAGCCCGACTGGCACGCGGATCGGGTAGGGGTGCAAAACGGATGGAGGGTGTTCGAGGGTTGTTGGTCTGAGGGGTAAGCGGGGAAGTGCTGCAGCTAGTCCTGCCTAAAGCGCTGGAAGGCAGAAATTGAGAGTTATGGATCAAGTTGGACTGAACGGTGGTGGTCATGTGTGGCAGTTATGGAGTTGATGACGTAGACTGAGACGGGATCTATCTTGAGTGATCGGAGAGAGCTTGAAGGAGAAGAAGGAGAGGAAATGGAACGAGGTTAGTATCGATGATAAATGGCTTGAGCCAGGTATGGTGGTGTATGTTGGTTATTATTATGAATTTCTGAAGAAGGTTGGAGACCGAGCTGGACCCCAGGCAGTCGGGAAATTATTAAAAGGGGGTCAGACGGAAATAAAGAGAAGAAGATTTTTTAAAAAAAAAAAAAGGAAAATGTGGCACAGTGTAAAAGTACGAACAGACGAGCAAGACAGACAGACCAGCAGGACCGAGGTAGGGATAAGGTCTGGATTTTGTCGTGATGATAAGTTTAATCGAGAAAAGACTTGTTTAATTTTAGACGGCACTACGACTATTGTGCATTACATAAAACCAATTTGAGCCTGATGGAACTCCTCGTCGTTAGGCCCAAGATATGTGGATGAGCCGAGGTGAAGTGCCTGTGCGGTTATGTAGTCCAGTCCGAGC